CTTCTGCCCGTTTCTGACCGTCCCAGCCCAGCGTCTCCAGGCCCCGCTCACCTGCCCCTTCCTCGGCCGGGTGGGATCCAGGCTCAGCCGGCGGGGGGCGGCGGGCTGAGTACCCCGCACGGGGCCCGGCCACGGCCAGATGCTCAGCACGTGTGCCCAGTGTGACCGGAGGGCACGCATGTTCAGCCCTTTCTGAGCTGCCGGTGCCAGGGGCGCGTCCGGCTTCCGTTGGCGAAGAAGGAGTCTGTCCCCGTGGCTCCTCTCGCTTCGCCCCATGCGTGCGGGTGCAGGTGCTGTGAGACCCGGCCTGCAGAGAAGGAGGCCAGAGAGCTTACGCGACAGGTCCAGTGTCCCACGGCCGGGGGGCGGCAGAGCCGGGACTTGAATTCTGGTCTTTCGAACTTTCGGAGGCTCGTGAGGACCTTCTCTGTCCGCGGCCTTGTTCTGTCGAGAAGACGGCGCGGGCGACGTTGCTGCTGACCGCTGCTCACCGTCCGGTCAGGTACAGAGGTGGGAAAAGGGACGAGGGCAGACGTGCTGGGGTGGCCCCGTGACCCGCGTGCTCGGCCGGCGGCCGTCAGGCCCAAAGTGAATCACAACATGGGGGCTCCAGCCGGCGACACAAGCCATCAGCGGACCACATATGTATGAGGGTACACACGCGCTTGCACACTCCGCGCACGCACGGCCACACGCGCACACACACACACACACACACACACACACACACACACACACTTTGGGGCCGTCAGCTTGCTTGGGGAGGTGCCCGCACACCCTTGTCCTGGTTAAGCTGGTATTTGTGCCCGGGGACTCTGTTTTTCTGTCATTTTCAAGTGTCCCAAATGATCAAGGACATTTAGAAATTCAGCGTCTCTGGGAAGATGTGCTGTAATCGTGACGATTCTGCCAGACGACGAGGCGGCTCGAAGCCGGGGAACACAGGCCCCCACGCTCCACCCAGCCTTGGGGCAGGCGCTCGGGCAGTCCCGAGGGTCCTCACGGCAGAGACTGGAGGCCAGCAGGGCCCGACCGCGGGGCAGGCAGGGTGCTGGGGCCCGGCAGGACTCGGAGTCTGGAGGAATCCTGGCTTCTTGAAGCCTGCTCGCCCGGTGAGCTGACTTCTCCGAGCCTCAGTTTCCTCCTCCACAAAAGCGGGTTGATGATACTGCCGTGGGTACCGCTGTAGCACAGGCGGATGTCGTAATGAGGGGTCGCAGGTCTGGGAAGGGCTGGCTGGTGGCTGGGGGTGGCTTGCGGGCATTTGGCACACGTTCCCACTCGGCCACGAGTCCCTCTGTGGCCCCTGATGGCGGTGGCTGGCCTGCGCGAGGATGGCTGGAGCTAACTCACGTGGTGGGGCAAAGAATAGAAACATCTGGAATCCTGGGGGGCTCAGGTCATGACCTCATGGTTCGTGGGTCCGAGCCCTGCGTCGGGCTCTGTGCTGACGGCTCGGAGCCTGGAGCCTGTTTCAGATTCTGTGTCTCCCTCTCTCTCTGCCCCTTCTCTGCTCTGTCTCTGTCTCTCTGTCTGTCTCTGTCTCTGTCTCTCTCTCTCTGTCAAGAATAAATAAATAAACATTAAAAAAGAAAGAATAGGGGCGCCTGGGTGGCTCAGTCGGTTAAGCGTCCGACTTCGGCTCAGGTCATGATCTCACGGTTTGTGAGTTCGAGCCCTGCGTCAGGCTCCGTGCTGACAGCTCAGAGCCTGGAGCCTGCTTCGGATGCTGTGTCTCCCTCTCTCTCGGCCCCTCCCCTGCTCATGCTCTGTCTCAAAAATAAATAAAAACATTAAAAAAATTATTAAAAAAAGAAAGAATAATCTGGTATGTAGCTAAAATCTGGGTTAGTTGTGTGACCTTGGAAGTCTCTCTTATTCTCTGTTTTTTGTTTTTTTTGTGTTTTTTTTTTTTTTAATCAGTAAATGGAGACATTGTGGAGTTGTGAGCCTCATGCCGTGGTTGTGTACTCTGATGCTTTATATAGTGTGGTCCTGCATTTGCAGTGTTTTTCACATTAAAAAAGTAAAACATTTAAAAATAATTGGAAATACCGTATATGCAGCTTTGTGGTCTGAGTTTTTCACTTGATGTTGTACCATGAGCTTTTCCTCTTCAAACGTTCTCTGCAGAAGTGGTTTTCGCTGGCTACCTAGTGGTCTATCGCTGGCCATTCCCAAATGCATTTAACCACTCTGATAGTGTTGGGCATTTAGGAATAAATGGCTTAAAAATGGCTCATCTGTTGGGATTTAGTCCCTAAGAATTCTGTGTATGAAGGGTCACTACTGTGTCGTTGAACAGCTCTGAGTTGCAGAGTCGCCCAGCTGAGGGGCCCCCCGTCCCCCGTGGCCTATCAGTCCCTGTGGCCCCTCAGCAGGGAGGCGAGTACCCCCACGTGCCGTCCAGCCGGTACCTCGCCGGCTGCTGTCGCCGGAAGAACCGTATTAATCTCAAGCTTCGCTGGATGGAGTTCAGGCAACAAAAAAAGATGACAACTCAACATTTGACAAATAGGAAACATATCTAGTCCAGCCATTCTGATGTATTTTCCGGCTGGTAAACATGTCAATGGTTTACTTTTTGTGGACGCGTAATAGAGAATGCGAGGAAATCTGCAAAGTCGTGAGGGTCCCGCTGCTCCGGGGCTGGGTGAACACAAGGGGAGGGGGCGGGGGGGAGTCGCCTCTTCTCTGAAGGCTCTGAGTTTGAGAACGAAAGGAAGAGGCTCGAAGGAGGAGACCCCTCCCTCCACCTCTTCCTCTGGACGTGATGCAAACAGGCTTGGATTCTGATTTCAGTGATTTCTGCCAAAAGAAATACATTAGAGGGTGAAATGTGCTGCTGACCGCAAACCCTTCCCAGCCAAGGCCTGATGTTCCCCAGATGCCCTCAGACCCCTTGGAGGGAGAAGTGAGGGTCATTTCTGAGTCGAGAGCGCTGTGCGCTGTCCCCGCCGGCCCCTGTAGGCTGGTTTGTCTTCTAACGCAGTCTGAGTTCAGTGCCCGCTCCCTTCAGCCCCCTGGAGGCCCGGCCCGTGGGCTTGGCCGGCGTCTCAGGCACCGGGTCGCGGTTTCGAAGGTAGGACCCTTCCTGAGGGCTGTCCCTGTGCCCTGCATGCTCCGTGCCCTCCCTGCAGCCGTGGACGTGTGTGCGGGCCCGTGAGTGCGGGCTGCTCTTGGGTACACCGTGGACCGCGGAGGCTCAGTGACCGAGCGGGGGACTTCCCGCAGCGGGCGCACGGACCCGCCCGGTGTCCGCTGCTGGAGCTTGTGCGTAAGCCACGTGGGAAGGCCTGGCGTGCAGGGCACTCTCCGGACACCCTGCGGCCCTGGCGCGGTGTCACTCGTGTAGCGGGTGCTCAAGAAATGAGACGTGGTGGAAACCGTCACGAATGAATGAATGAACTATTTCGTGAGTCCTCCCTTGAGTCTCCAGCGCCGGCTTGTGCCTGGCACAAAGTGGGCCCCATAGTTGTATCACGTAAACGAGCGGTGGGTCGACGGGCCCCAGGAGAGCTTCCCTCTGTCAGCCTGCGGGGGTGGGGTGGGAGCGTGGCTTTGGGTGCCTGCTGGCACAGGCCCTCCGCTCGCCCCAGTGCTTCCGTCCTGGACGACACCGTCTGACCCCGCAGACCCCTGTCTGCCCCTGAAACTCTCTGGGACGGTGAGGTCTCCTCCCTCGAGCCCAGCTCGGCCGTGGGTTTGGCAGTCCGTCACACCCTGCCTTCGAAATACCTCCGTTCCCGTCGAGCCATTGTTTAGATCTGCTTAAGTGGGTCCGGCCTTCCCTTCCGCCGTTTCTTGTCACAGGGACGGCCCAAAGGCCGCGGGCAGGGCTCTGGGCTCGGGCCTGAGACCTTGGCTCTGAACTCTGGCACGAGGCACTCCCCCTGCGCCTCTACCTGTAACGTCTGTACAGTCGGGAGAGAGGCCAGGGGTGTCGCGGTGATGGCCAAGAGCGGACGCATGAAGCCGCCTTGTGAACTGTAACGTGCTTTAGGGAAATCAGGCGTGGTGATGTGCCGTGGCTGGTGAGCACAGGGCGTTTGTTCATGGTGTGCGTCTTTCGGCAGTGAGTGCCGCCCGGCTCTCGTCCGCTACCTCTGCTCGGGCTGTGTTCCCATCCTCCCTACTTCCTGGCTCCCAAACGCCCAGGAGGGCGGTGAGGCCCAGCCTGGACGCCCCAAATTTGCAGGGGATGTGATGTGAATGACAGAAGTAGCCCAGCCATCCGCGGCCAGCGCTCGTCTAGGACCGTTCACAAACTGCTTTACTCTTTCTTCCCAGAGGCCCCTAGGCGGGTCCTAATGTCTTCCCCATCAGCCGCTTGAGACCACTGAGGCAGAGGTGGGGTAAGAGGCCCGAAGCCACAGAGCCAGGAGGGGCTGTGTCTACGGCACGTGCTACCAGCCCTGGGGCTCTCTACGCGCCCTGGGGCTGGAAGACAGGGTGCACAAAGGGGACCCGCCCGCGTCTGCCCCACCCTCCACGGGGACCCTCTCTGCTCTGCTCAGCACCTTTCGCCCTCCAGCAGCCCCCCTGCCTCCCTTCCCTGCTCTGAGCCTAGTTTGGGGGTGAGAACAGCTGCTGGGACGCTCTGATCCGTCCCGGAGGGAACTCTGCATCATCAGAAACGGAAGGAACCTTGGGGATTGTCTGAGGTTTGTTCTGAGAGAAGAGAGGCCTAAGCTGGCCAGCACCGATGCCCAAACCACACGGCAGCACGAAAAGGAACTGTGCTCACGTGGCTTATGAGCGTGGACGCACAGTTGTGAGCCACACAGCAGCAAACTGAGCCACGGATGGCAAACGTCTTGCCGGCTCCTCCCAGGAGAGCACACGGGACTTCACCCTAGAAAACAGGGGCTGGGGGTAGCTGCTTGGCCCCAGTGGCTCGCGGCCCAGCCCAAAGGGCTCCCTGTGTGCCGTGGCTTGCACTCCCCGTCCCCGGAGCCCCCTTCCTGGCTGCCCTAATTCTCTCTCCATTTCTCCTGCAGGATTCCATGTTTTCGCTGGCCCTGAAATGCCTTATCAGCCTGTCTACCATCATCCTCTTGGGCTTGATCGTCGCCTACCACACGCGAGAAGTCCAGGTGGGTGCCGTCCTCTCCCCTCCGCGAGCAGCGCCCGTCCCCACCCCAAAGCCCACCCCGTGCAGCCGCCTGGTGGTGTGGCACACTGTGGCTCTTCCCCTCCCGTCTGGACCCTCAGAGTGAGGGAACTGGGGCTTCAGCAGCTGTGACGCCGTCTTCTTTGGGGGTCCCAGAGGCGAATGTGGCTTCACGATTTGGGGGCGGCTCTTTAACGCCAGCGCACTGAGAACCGCTTTCCTTCTCCCGCTGGGCCTTTCAGAACCTTGGCCACCGAATCCCCCAGGGAGGCAGACCTATCTCCCGTCCCCTTGCACACGCACGTACACGCACGACACTCGAATTGCACCAAATCCCTCCGGGACTCTGTATCTCTGAGTGGTGTGGGCTCTACCCGCCGCAGACCCTGGAGGCTGGGAGGGGTCATTTTCTAGACGGAATACCGGTCAGATGTGGGGAGGGGCTGCTCAGAAGTGACTGTGCCCCCAGAGAAACGTCGGCTGGGCCTCCAGGCCCAGCTTCCAGCCTGGCCGACAGGGGTCCCATGAGGACCAGGAAGGGTAGACGGCGAGAGGGTCTGTGGCATCTTCCCAGGACACCGGGGCACCCGCACTACCCGGCCCTGCAGGCTGACCGGCCCCGCTGGAGACCCGGGTGGTTCTAAAACCTCCAGATGCTTTTTCTCCCATGTATGCGAGTCTGGAGATAATCCCGGTCCCTGGGCTGGAGGAACACAGTTCGATTCACGTCTGGGCCGCAGGCGACACATTGACAAAGACCAGAGCTCGCGGTCAGAGAGACCGGCTGGGTCTCGGCCGGGACCCCTTCCTACAGGGCGTTTTTGTTTGGCCCCGCAACCTTTCTCAGGCTGCTGTGAGGACAGGATGTGCTCTGTGAGCCGGGAAACACCGTGCCAACCTCGTCCCCGTTACGGGGCATTCTGGGCAGGGTGGACCCGTCTGCCTTCCTGGCAGTGTCTGGGGGCCCCCGGCTGGCCTGGATGGGCAAGTCTTGGCTCGCGGCCACCCTGGCGGGGCTCCAGGCAGCTGAGGACCAGAGGACACGGATCTAGGAGCTGCGACTCTAGTCTCCGGGGGGCTGCGGTGCTCAGACAGGCGTGTGCCCTCAGGGCGTCCAGACACTGCCACCAGCTTGCCTCCTGGAGCCTGAACTGCCGGACCCAGACCACTGTCCCGTCAACCCCAGGCAGGAGCCAATACCGGCTGGGGGGTGGGGGGGTGGGTTAGGGACCAAGACAGGGCTGGGGGTCACCGTCTGGGCCCCAAACCAGCCGTGGCACCCGGGGCTTCCCTCAACCCCACCGAACCCTCACGTCCTCATCTGGAGGGAGCCCCTTGGCGCGTATCACCCTGATCTGCGCAAGATGTCACCCGGGCCCAAGAGAAAAGGCGGAATCGTGACGCTCAGCCACGCGTCCCTCCCTCCCGTACTCTCGTGGCCCTGGTTCCCTCCTGCGGGCCTGTGGCCTCAGCGCCGGCCTGGGGCGGGGACACCACCTCGCCCGGTGTCCTCTGTCCCAGCCCCAGCTCGCGGCCAGGCTTTGCTTTGTCCTGATTACGGGCAGTAGAGGACACTGTCTCGGCCGTTAGGGCCTGGTGCTCAGCACTTGCAGAAACAAAGTGAAGCCAGTGTCATTGAGTCCTGGCTCAGACACTTCAGTCTGCACGACCTGGGCCGGTAACAGCGCCTCCAGGCCTCAGTTTCCCCGGGTGAAGTATAGGAGTCACATCACCCACTTAGGGTCGGGAACAGTGGAGTCCAGGGTGGGCGTTCATGGCACAGGACCTCTCTGCCCCACTCTTCCAGCCGGGCCTTGCCCGTCCGTGTGCCAGCTGGGCCCACGAGGTGGCCCCCTGCTGACCGCCGGCACCGGCAGCCGGCTGGGCTTCCTCCTGCACCCCCACCAGCCCCGCCTGGCTCTCAGCTGCCCTGGCTGTGCCCATAGCCTACCTGGCCTCCGTCACGGGGGCGGTCACCGGCACGTGGCTCCCTCTGGAAGCTTCCCCTTCCAGTGAGTTCTCTCTGCGCAGACCTTCTCCTGCCACGGGGAGGTGGGACGGTGTGGGCCCGGATGGCGTGGGGAGGGCCGGCTCCCGCAGGGCCCCTTGTAGGCACCTCGGTGGACCCTACCGTTCTCTGTTCTGTGTCTTTCTCCCCGGACTTCGGGATGGTAAGGTCACTATCTTTACATTTCCAGGGACCCGTGGTGTCTGACGAGCAGGTTATCTGCGGGGCACGTCCCGAGGGAAAGGGTGCTGGATTCTAGACACCCGGTTTCCAAAGCAATTTAGATCATCCCTCAGTTCCGTGGTCTCGGGCCTCATCTATTAATTGGGAATCGAAGCCTTCTAATTCTGTAATTGTCCGGTGCAGGTCTGGGCACAGCCGGGCACCTGCTTCCTGAGGGCGGAGGCGGGCTGCCCCGGAGCCTGGATGCTGGCCAGCGTCCAGGCCCCCCCCCCCCCCCGGTGCGCAGAAGCCTGGGGCACCTTCTAGAATGGCATTCCTCGTGTCAGTCTCCACGACTTGTGTTCTTGAGGCAGAATTCTGAAACGGGGTGGCTTTCTGTTGTGGAGCCGCAGGCTTGGATGTCTCCCAGAGGTGGCCAGGTGCCCACCCCCACCCGTGCAGGGGCCTCTGTACCTCTGTGACCTGTACCGCCTGTGACAGGGACGCTTGCCTGTGGGCAAAGGCCTCCGGTGGGCGAGGGGGGTCTCCCGTGGGCGAGGGGTTCTCCGGTAGGTGAGGGGGTTCTCTGGCGAGTGAGGGGGGTCTCCTGTGGACGAGGTGTCTCCTCTGGGTGAGGGGCATCTCATGTGGGTGCAGGGGTCTCCTGTGGACGAGGGACACTCTCCCGTGATAGGCAGCGTGGGTTTTTGGCAAGTCCGCCCCTCTGCGGAGAGGAAGGGTCTCCTGGAACGTGCGCTCAGCCCGACTGCGCTTCTGAGCCACAAAGGCAGGTGTCCCACAAGGCAGCCCCTGCCACGTTTCTCCTCGGGTTTTGTCCTTGGCTGTCTAGAGGGTGGAGCTTTCAAAGGCTCAGGCGTCTGTTATCCTCAGGCCAGTGTGACCTGGAAAGAAGCGAAGACACAAAAACCAACGCATTTTTGTTTATTTACCAAAACTTTGAAAACTCCACCGACCTCGCACAGTGCTACGGACCGTGCGGTTTGGCGTCACCGGGCCCCGTGGCGGCGCCAGCCGCCTCTCCCCGGGCTGCAGACCCGCGTGTGGTGTTGGGGCCCCTGGGGCGGCCCCCCTCTCGCACTCACCACGCGCGACAGGGTCCACTCCGTGCAGAGCCCGGCGCAGGGGCGCAGCGCTCTCCACTGACCGCCCGGAGCGGAGCCACGGCTCGGGCCGATGCCCCTGGTGCTGTCCCGGAAGGCGGGTCGCCAGAGAACAGACTTCGGAGTAGCGAGCTCGGGTTCGAACCGCGGTGGTTGCCACATTTTAGTGTGTCTGGCAGCCCTTAGCAAGTTACTCGATCCCTCCGATCCCTCCTCGGCAGTGTCCTTCCGCAGGGTGGGGCCGAGAACGGTACCCTGTTGTGGAGCTGGGGACACTGGTCATTTGCATGAGGCGTGGCAGGATCCGTTGTCGTTGCCGGGCACAGTGGGGGCGAGGTGGTGAGTGCGGGCCAGTCTCCTGGGACGTCGCCGGCGAATGCGGGGATGCCAGGGTGGCAGCTGGAGCAGACACAGTGCGGAGGGAGGGTCCTCGTCCACTTTTACAGGGACTGCTGTCCTCCGGCTGCCAGAAAGGGGCCGGGTTCTGGTCCAGGAGCGCGCAGGAGGGGGAGGGGAAGTGCCCTGGCTCAGAGCCCGGCCGGGGTGGGCGTGCACACACCCCTCTGGGGGCAGGAGCGGAGCCGGGTGAAGCCGTCGGGCACACGACAGGGGCGGGAAGTTCGCCACGGAGCTGTGGAGGGAGCTGATGTGAGCGTGCTCACGGGTCGCGTGCACAGCGAGGCTGAGGTTCCCGCTCTTGTTTGGGGGCCTCCCGTCTAGTGTGGACCCGACGGGAGTGTGACGCTGACCAGCTGGGGGCCTCCAAGCGCATGGACTGAAACGGGACACCGGTGATCTATCAGGTGTGTGTTAAATGGGTGTTTTTATTAAATGCCACCAAGTTCTCAGCCGACGGGGAAATTACTCCAAATTACAGGACGTAAATCACATTCAGCAGACGGCTCACGTTGCAGACGGGCTCACCCCCACGGCACGACGGGTCCGTAGGTCGGAGCACCCTCCGGGATTTGCAACACGGGCATCGGTTTGCAGGAGGCGGACTGGCCAGAGGCTCCGGGGCCCCGTGCTAGCTGAGCTGGGGTGTCGTCCCACTGGGGAAGGGAGGACCCCTCAGGCCAAGTCTGGTTCTGGGCCCTCGCCCTTCCTCTCCCCCGAGGACCGTGGGTGTCAGGCTCTCGGCCCCTGGAGGCTGCTTGTCCAAGACCTTGATGCTCTGGGACCAGGCTCAGCGCCGTGACGTGAGGCGTGTGTGAACCCGTGTGGCCCCAGGGGCGAGTTTCACAGGGAGATGAGGCTTTAGCCGAGCCCTATCTTTGTCGGGAGCGGAGACCTTGTACGTCCGGACAGAACTGGCCTGGGGCACCTCAGGGCCGTGGAGAAGGAAGGAAGGGCCGTCTGTCCTCCACGTGGCGGCTGCCTGACCCCGGTGGGGCTGGGCCTGTGTCCTCGAACACATCTGGTGACGTTTCCTACGGGCCGGTGTCTGGCTGGCCGAGGCAGTCCCTTTGCGCTGACTGGATGGGGGACCCCAGAGATCCCAAGACCTCCAGGAGCCTCCCCGGCCACCCCAGTCCACAGGCGGGGAGCTGGCTTGGCCCTGGCCCTGACCCCTGAATCAAGCGACTGTTTCCTGCCCCACCGGCTCCCTGCTGTGCTGTGGGGACGACGTGACTCGCTGTTGTGTCCCAGAGCCGAGCGCCCAGCAGAGCAGGTGGGGGCAGGCGGGCCGAG